TAGGTGTACGTGGCTGGCGCCTTAGCCGGTTGAGCTATAGGCGCCGAGCAGGCCAACTTATCCAGTAGATTCTTCTCATCTGTTTCAAACACAGGCTGCATTTTGACATTTATGGGACTGGTATGATATGCAAGTACTGTGCTTATTAAGAGATGAGAATCTGGAGGGGGGTATGAGCTTGTCCTCACCCTCACAATCTGTGGGGAAACAAATATGTTCGTGGTTTTATTCACTTATTACAAACATATTAGGTGACTAAGATAGTCTCCCCTGCTCCTAAGAGAGCCCCTAACCCCAGTGTACTCCTGGTGGGAGTAGGGTTTACTGCAGCCACAGTTCTCAGCCTAGGCATCTGTGCCCCTGGGAGGTTCAGCAGGTGCAAGTTCTCTGGGGAGTCACCTGTTTTGCTCTCTGACCACAGAGAATAGTATTTCACAAGAACAAGTTGTAGAACAATGGGAAAAATTTAAAGTAAAACACCTGATTTAGATCAAGCTAGGCAGGTGAATTCACTGGTGCTCATCCAGAATTACTTGTTAATATCCTCTTCTCCAGGACAGTGCAGAAACCCAGTGGAAGAATGTTGCTATGTTACAGGCCACATGCCAAACTGACAGATTTAAATGAACACATCGGCAAGGGCATACATGTACATTATAAGTGGTGCAAATTACATCATGGGCTGGGGGTAGAGTTGATCAGCCTTCATCTTGGGCCAGCAGTTTTAAAATTTGCCACCTAGCAACCCCATTCTTGGGTTTGTATTTAATAAATACATATATATATATGTTTGCCAAGAGACCGTGGTTAACAGCATTATTCATAGCAGCCACAAATTAAAAATTACCCAAATTCCATCAATAGTTGGATGGATAAATGAATCATAGTAGATTCATATAATGGAATTCTGTACAACAATGAGAACAAGTGGTCAGGCGGCGCCTGTGGCTCAAATGAGTAGGGCACCGGCCTCATATGCCGGAGGTGGCGGGTTCAAACCCAGCCCTGGCCAGGAAAACCCACAAAAAAATTAAAAAAAAAAAGAACAAGTGGTCTATTATTGCACAGGACAATGTAAATGAATTCCACAAACAATATTGAGTGACAGAAGTCAGAGTACATACTGTATGATTTCATTACATCAGGTTTAAAAGCAGGAAAAACAGCCAGGCAAGGTGGTTCATGCCTGTCATCTTAGCACTCTAGGAGGCTGAGGCTGGGGGATTGCCTGAGCTAAGGAGTCGGACACCAGCCTGAGCAAGAGAGAGACCCAGTCTCTAAAATTAGGCAGGCGTGGTGGGTGTCTGTAGTCCCAGCTACTTGGGAGGCTAAGGCAGGAAGATCTCTTGAGCCCAAGAGTTGAGGTTGCTGTGAGCCATGACACCACTGCACTCTACCAAGGGTGACACAGTGAGAGTTTGCTTCAAAAAATAAAATTAAATAAGCAGGGAAAACTAACCTATCACGACAGAAGTCAGGATGGTGCTTACGCTTATGGGGAGGTAGTGTTTAGAAAAAGGCACAAGGCACAAGGCAAGTTTCAGACTGCTGGCAATGTTTTCATTGGTGGCTGCAATGGGTGTGTCCTATTAGTTTGTGGAATTTCAGTAGCCTATAGTATGTAACTTTTCTGTATGTGGTCATATGTCAATAAAAAATTTAAAATTATTTTGCCTATGTCACATAAAAGTCTCCAGGTTTGATTTGCTGTAATCATATGCAGGAGGAGTGCCCATTTTTAGCTGGAGATGAACCAATTTCTATAACAATGTTTTTAGAATTATAAAAATTATAAGAATTATAAAAAGAAAATGTGCTTATTGAAGAAAACCAGGAGAACTTTTCTTTTTTGGAGACAGTCTCACTATGTTACCCTTGGTAGAGTGCCGTACTGTCACAGCTCACAGCAAACTCAAACTCTTGGGCTTAAGAGATTCTCTTGGCTTGACGCCTATGGCTCAAGCAGCTAAGGTGCCAGCCACATACACCCAAGGTGGCGGGTTCGAATCCAGCCTGTGCTAGGATTACAGGCATGAATGAACACACCCAGCTCATTCATCATAGTCTTAATGACATATTAACATACTTTCAAAAAATTCTGATGCACATTATGGAATAGGCTCAGTAGGGGAAAGTGAGTTCAATCTACTCCCTATTTGTGCTTCTGCCCATAAGCTGGAATCTTGAAACATTTTTTCTTTTTTTTTTTTTTTAAGAGATGTTTCATTTTGTCGTCCTCAGTAGAGTGCTGTAGCCTCACAGCTCACAGCAACCTCCAGCTCTTGGGCTTAGGTGATGCTCATGCCTCAGCCTCTGGCTTTTTGTTTCTTTTTTTTTGAGACAGAGTCTCACTTTGTCACACTCAGTAGAGTGCTGTAGCATCATAGCTCACAGCAACCTCAAACTATTGGGCTTAAGCAATTCTCTTGCTTCAGCTTCCCAAGTACCTGGGACTATAGGTGCCAGCCACAATGCCAGCTAATTTTTTTTTTTTTGGGCGGGGACTGGTGTGAACCTGCCACCTCTGGTATATGGGGCCAGCTCCCTACTCCTTGAGCCACAGGCACTGCCCACCTGGCTAATTTTTTATTTTATTTTATTTTTTTGAGACAGAGCCTCAAGCTGTGGCCTTGGGTAGAGTGCTGTAGCATCACAGTTCACAGCAACCTCCAACTCCTGGGCTTAAAAGATTCTCTTGCCTCAGCCTCCCAAGTAGCTGCGACCACAGGCGTCCACCTATTTTTTGGTTGTAGTTGTCATTGTTGTTTGGAAGCCTCAGGCTGGATTCCAACCTACCAGCTCTGGTGTATATGGCTGGCGCCTTATCTGCTTGAGCAACAGGCACCCAGACCCGGCTAATTTTTTAGAGATGAAGTCTCACTCTTGCTTAATCTGGTCTGAAAACTCTGAGCTCAGGCAATCCACCCACCTCGGCCTCCCAGATTACAGGCATGAGCCATTGCGTCCAGTCTTTTGAAACACTTCTAATACCTGTGTAACAAAGAGGAAAGAAAACTGAGCTGGAAGTCAGAAAATAAATATGTGCATGGCGGTGGCTTGACTGTCATTTATCTCTTCAGACAAATGGATGCTACCTATCCTGTAAACCAGATTGAGGAGACCAGCAGATAAAAGGAGAGTCATCCACATTCATTCCTGCACCCAAATGTGAGGCTTCTCCTAGGCTTTTCTAGGTCCAGTTCATGGTCAACAGATGCCTGTTCTTTGAGAACTCAGGCTGGTGGGAACAGTCAAGTATTCTAAAATAAAAAAGTTAGGGAAATGTGCAAAAATAGACTTCACGATTACCACATGGTCACTTTTGTATATATCTATGTCAAGATGATTCTACGTCACTACTCCTTGTAGTTCCTTGCACATAAATAGTATACCTACAGTTGTCCACAAGGACAGCTCCTGCTCACACACAAAGCTGGTTTAACCAGAGCTGTGAGTGGATAACGGGCATATAGTATTTAGGACACTTGCCACTTGTTCAAACAGCTTTCAAAACTGCCACTTCCAGCCTTTTGCTGTGTTCTGCTTCTGTCTCATACCTAACACTATGAAAGGAAAAGACAGTCCAGGGTCTTAAGAAACATGTTTTGAATGTCTATTATTTGCTACAAACTCTTACAAAGGGACACAAAAACAAATGATTATGGCTCACAATCTGCGTCTGTTGGCAGATAAAATTCTAATTTGTTTTTCCTCTCCTACAGCTGAAAAACTTGTTTTACACGCACTGTTTCATTTATGCTCCCAAACAGTCCTGTGAAGACAAAATATAACTCACTTAGGCACATAGGCTGCGATTCACAATGTGCGTGACAGCTCTTTATCTTACCCCCTTAGCGTCTAAACATTTCATAGAGGAGGAAACTGATGCTCTAACAGGTAACGGTTTCAGCTTTTTTTTTTTTTCAGGAATGTGTGCACTTTATTGAACCCCTTGGTGGACAGGCGTGTGAGTATAAACAGCTGCATGAAGGGTGGGTCCAGGCGGGGCTGGCACAGAGCTGAGAGCACGGAGCGATGGGCGGTTACTGGCAGCCTTGACAGGGATTCCACTCTATCCACGCGACCGGGTGACGAACAGTGGGATGGCTATGAGCAGAATAGCCGCCCCAATGAGGCTGAGGACCAGGGCCCAGATGTTCAGGCACTTGGCAGTGGAGGCGTAGGTCTTGGCTCCAGCCAGGTCGCCCACCATCTTCCTATCCCTAGACTTCACGGAGTAGGCGAACGCTATGAAGCCCAGGCAGCAGCAGTTCATGAAGAGCGCGTTGAACAGGGACCAGACGACGTGGTCGGGCACAGCGGTCTCACTCTGGATGTGGATCACGGTGGGAGCAGGGTTGGGGGTCGTCCTCAGCACGGCCACCTCGTGCTCTTCCTTGAGCGTCTCATAGTTCGGGGGGAGCCCTGGGTGGGTTTGTGGGAAGATATTTTGGGAAGGGTGGTTCATGATGCCGAGAGGAGGCTGCGGTGGTCTAAGGTTTCACCTCTTAAGCATTTAAGCCAGTGCAGTTACCTTAAGATCTGGCAAATTCGCACAATGAGTTGTTAAAGTAACCGTGCCTCTCTCAGCAGAGAACCGGTCAACCCGATGCCAAAGCGCCTGTACGCGCATGCTCTGGGACGCTGCCCGTCACGTGATCCTCCAAATCAGCTCACGTGATTACGCTCCCGGAGGCGGGGCCATCGGCCAAGATGGCGGCCTACCTGCAGTGGCGGCGCTTCGTTTTCTTCGACAAGGAGCTGGTGAAGGAGCCACTGGGCAATGATGGGGCTGCTCCTAGTGCCGCACCTGCCCCTGGATCTGCTGCTTCCAAGTTTCTTTGCCTCCCTCCTGGCATTACTGTCTGCGATTCGGGCCGAGGGAGCCTCGTCTTTGGAGATATCCTTGCTCTGGAGCTGTCTCTACCTTCCTTGGACCACGGAAGAGATCCAGCTAGAATGAAATCTGTTCATCCGATGCTTTCGTGCTATGCGCCACTTTCCTTTTACTTTAGATGTTCAGAGCTCTTCTGAGGTCTGAGGGAAGAAAAAAGGAAGTCTGTTCTCTAACTTGTCAACAAAGCAATCCTGGGCAAGTCATTTAACTCTTCTGGGCTTTAATTTTCTTATTTGTAAAAGGGATGTAAGTGCCGATTTGACAAGGGTATTTGTACAAAAAATTGAACCCAAGTTGGATTAAAAGGACAAATGTGTAAGGTGTCATTATCTCCCCTGCCTGGTGTTGTGACCGAGGACTGGAGTTTGATGCTTTTCTTGTTGCTAAACTCTGACCAGACCACTTTCACTCTTTTTAACATAGTTCCACGAGATGATGTGTGAAACATTTTTGAATATTTTAAAGAGAAATATTTACATAATTGTTATCTAAGTTTTAGTCTAAAAGTAAGTATCTCTCCTTGGAAAGAGGCTCCTTGACAACCCTATACATATGGAAGGCCAGATCTGGTTTTTGCCACGCTCCCTACAGCTTACAGGCTTCCAGGCCTACAAACTCCGGGTGACACACCTGTATCAGCTGAAGCAACACAATATTTTGGCATCTGTTGGTGAAGATGAAGAGGGCATCAACCCCCTGGTGAGTCCCAGAAAGGAAACAGGGTAGATCCAAAGTCTGGGAATGATTTTTTTTGTTGGAGGGTAACTAGCATTCATGCTTCTGAGGTTTATCCATAGGTAAAGATCTGGAACCTGGAGAAGAGAGATGGTGGCAATCCACTCTGCACTCGAATTTTCCCTGCAATCCCAGGGACAGAGCCAACTGTTGTGTCTTGTTTGACTGTTCATGAAAATCTCAACTTTATGGCCATTGGTAAGCAAAATGAATTTAAAACTAACACTCCTAGATTTTTTTTTTTTTTTTTTGTAAAAACAAAGTCTTAACTCATTGCCCTCAGTAGAGTGCTGTGGCCACATAGCTCACAGCAACCTCCAACTGCTGGGCTTAGGCGATTCTCTTGCCTCAGCCTCCCAAGTAGCTGGGACTACAGGCACCGGCTACAACACCTGAATATTTTTTTGTTGCAGTTTGGCTGGGGCCGGGTTTGATCCTGCTACCCTTGGTATATGGGGCCAGCGCCCTACCCACTGAGCCACATGCGCTGCCCAACACTCCTCGATTCTTTACAGATAGTTTTATTTTTTTTAAGATAATGCAGTGGCATCATGGTAGCTTACTGCACTGGTCCAACTCCTGGGCTCAAGGGCTCCTCCTGCCTCAGCGTCTGTGTGGCTGGGACTACATGCACTTGCCACGATGCCTGGCTAATGTTTTTATTTGTAGACATGGGGTCTTACTCTTTCTCAGGCAGGTCTTAAACTTCTGAGTTCAAGCAATTCTTCTGCCTCAGCTTCTCTGAGAGCTAGGATTATAGACGTGAGCTACCGTCTTGGCCAGAATTTTTTCAGAGTTGCTTCTGTAGCTCATCATCATTGTTTCCATGAGACTACTGAAGGTCCTTGAGATATTAAAGTTTGGCAGGGGAAGGCATTTAATTTTGTTCTTTGAAAATGAACAAATGAGTCGTTGAATACCGATATTCAGGTTAACCATCGGAGGAACTGAATGTGAGGAGAAAGATTGTTGCTTCTGAGTGCCTCAAGTGGTCTTTTTTCTCCTCTTCACCTTCTGATCTTTTCGGCCTCACTGCAGTGCTATTTCTTGTTCTCTTACAGGTTTCACAGATGGCAGTGTTACACTAAACAAAGGAGACATCACCCGGGACCGTCATAGTAAGACCCAGATTTTGCACAAGGGCAATTACCCTGTTACTGGACTCGCCTTTCGCCAAGCAGGAAAGACCACTCACTTGTTTGTTGTAACAACAGAGAATGTCCAGGTATGAACAGGCCTCCACTTTTAGGGACGGGTAGGAAGGGTTTCTTTGTTGCTCAGGATGCCTTGGGTACAGAATTAACAGGAGAGGTAGAATTCTTAAAATGTTCATCATATGGCTTAAATCGTTTGCCGAACTTAATATTTTATTTTATTTTTTTACTTAGGAGACTAAGAAGAGTTAGATTTAGGAAAAGAACTCTGGGTTTGTGGTAACAGTATGTGAATTTTTTTTCCCAAACTTTTTGTGACATCGGACAAGTTCTTTCACCTTTCTGATTCTTGGTGTTCCTAATTTATGTAATAGCTTACTCTCTCAGGAAATAGTCTTTTCATAAAATGGTACAAGAGGATTGGGTGCAGTGGCTCATGCCTGTAATCGTAGCACTCTGGAATGCCAAGGTGGGTGGATTACCTGAGCTTAGGGGTTGGAGACCAGCCTGAGCCTGAGGGAGAACTTGTCTCTAAAAATAGCCGGGTGTTGTGGCGAGAGCCTGTAGTCCCAGCTACTTGGGAGGCTGAGCAAGAGAATTGCTTGAGCTTTGCTGTGAGCTATGATGCTACAACACTCTACTGAGGGCAACAAAGTGAGACTGTCTCAAATAAATAAATAAAATGGTAAAAGATTATTGTACTTCTTTTACTTGCACAATGTCAGTAGTAGGTAGTGATACAAAGAAAGAAAATGTAGTCTATGCTTACATATTTAATAGATAGGTGGGAGTTAGTGAAGAAGCCAAAGGGAAAGTCTTAGAATGCTAAGAGGGAAAATAGTGCATCAACATGGAGATGGGAATACCCTTTTGAAACCTTAGGTGCTATCTCCTCAGTGGGAGCCTCTTAACTCCTTTCTTACTTCTGGCAGTCCTATATAGTTTCTGGAAAGGACTACCCTCGTGTGGAGTTGGACACCCATGGTTGTGGCCTGCGCTGCTCAGCCCTAAGCGACCCTTCTCAGGACTTGCAGTTCATTGTGGCCGGGGATGAGTGTGTCTACTTGTACCAGCCTGATGAACGCGGGCCCTGCTTCGCCTTTGAGGGCCATAAGCTTATTGCCCACTGGTTTAGAGGCTACCTTGTCATTGTCTCCCGTGACCGGAAGGTTTCTCCCAAGTAAGGACTGTGGGGAGAAGGGAAAGGGAGAGGGCTGGACTTGTTCCCAGAATTAACCTGCATTTAAAATCCTAATGCCTGCAACTAGTTTGATTTAACTTCTTACACGTGATATAAAGATAAATAACACCTGCGTCCTGCCAGTCTCCTACTTAGGTTTTATGTAGAATGTGCTTACACCTAGACTCAGTTAATGTTTTTACTGAGGAAAAAAAAGTGTGTTATTGCTTAAGATGTTTGCTGGGTAGCCCTACTGTACTAGAATGTGCCAGGGAATTTGGACTTGGTATTGTTTTTTTTACTCTCCAGTCAAAATAAGTTGGGCAGAGGAACAAGAGATTGAGTAGTGGAGAAATTGGAAAGTGCTGGAAATTGCAGGACATAGTTCCTTATTTTTGTTTTTTTGAAAGCCACTTGAAAGGGGGAGGAGGTAGGGTCTTCTGCATGATGAATGTACTTTCTTTAAATGTTAGTCTGTTTTTATTCAGTTCTAATGGCTTTGACATACCAGGTGTTGGATTAGTAGTTGTTACATGAATGAAGTATACTTAATTTTCTAATCTTAACTGGATTAATTACAGGACCCTAAAGGCTAAGAGCAGGTCAATATGTTCTCTTTCTGTAACTGTCGGCACAATGCAGCATGTTACGGGATGAGCTGCCAGAAGGGCCAACAAAGCAATTTGGGCTGGGTAGAATGGCAGTGCCAAAGTTGCCATGGGAAAGGAAATAAAAAGAAGCTGAGACAGAGATGGTAGAAATATCTAGTGCTTTTTCTTCTTTCTTACACAGGTCAGAGTTTACCGGCAGGAACTCACAGAGCTCCGACAAGCAGATTCTCCACATCTATGACCTGTGCAACAAGTTCATAGCCTATAGTGCCACCTTTGAGGACATAGTGGATGTGCTTGCTGAGTGGGGCTCCCTGTACGTGCTGACGCTGGATGGGCGGGTCCACGCACTGCAGGAGAAGGATACACAGACCAAATTGGAGGCAAGGCCACCACATTCCCAGAGATGGCCACAGGCACCTAAAAGCAGCTGTAGGAACGCTTTCCCCAAGTCACCTTGGCTGGAGTGTTTGCTTCTCTATGGGATACAGCCTTTTTCCACTTCCTTAGGGTAGAATTACTAGGCAAATGACCTGGGATAAGGTTTTAGAGGGAAGTAATGGCTGGGAGCTATAGCCCACTCTCAGGGTTCACTTTGCTTGCAGTGAACCTTAGGAGATTTGGTAGTGTCGGTATCTGGGAGGTCTTGTTCCATTTAGGATTTAGGCAGACAGGAATTCCAGGACCATCTGGCTTGGGTTTTATGAGCACATTTTGGGAAGGTTTTTTCTCAGGACTGTTTCTACCAATTTTCTGATCCTTCTCCCTTTCTAGATGCTGTTTAAGAAAAACCTATTTGAGATGGCAATTAACTTGGCCAAGAGTCAACATCTGGACAGTGATGGGCTGGCCCAGATCTTCATGCAGTATGGAGACCATCTGTACAGCAAG